GTCCAACATCTTCCCGCTGGAGCGGGATGGTATCTTTGATAACAGCTGATTAGGACATGCTTCACGGTGATATCTTACAAGATGTACCGAGATCCACACAAAAAGGATTTGCTTGAAAGCACTGAGCCTTTTTTCTGATCGGACGTGTCTTTATCTCAAAGTTGTCATTTACAAAACTTTTCTTCTCGTTCGGGGTCTACATCAGCTTAGGAGCCAAATACTTATGGAACATAGTGCTCGTAGCAGTCGACGGTCGTCTTCAGTCGTAATGCAACATAGTACGTAAGATCTACATCGCATTTGGCGTGTATGACTACTAAAACACTGTGCGTAAAGAGCGGACACAGGGCGCGGCGGGGTTTAAAGAGATTTGGCGAGCTCTGCATAGTGAAGGATGGACATCGAAACCACCCCCAGGACGAGGCTGTCTCGACAACCGCTATCGATACATACGGCCTGGAGGAAGTACTCATGGTGAGGAAGGTGTGGACTTTTTTCTTGGTGAGGAAAACCTCGTACAATATTACGTCGCTTCGAATGGAAACAATGCCACTACGAATTGTTTTTCAACGGCTAGGGTCAATTGTGTGGTAGAAGATGCTGACATGAGTGTGGTCAAGAATGCTACGGATGATAATTTGCATATTTTGAAACCTTCGGATGGCGCTCGTGGTAGGCACGTTACCTGTGATGTTGATGAAGAAGATCGTTTGTCGAGTCTGGAATCACGTCATTTCACTGTAAATACGGACCAGCAGGATCCTTCAAGTAGTAGGGATACGAGATCGACTGTCCAGTGTGCGGTTTGCCATTTGGAGTGCACTACTGAACGGTCGTGTACAGGCTGCGGTGCGAGTATGCACCACTTTTGCTCCCATGATATTTGCGTCTCTTTGGGCCTCCGCGATGATAATGGAAATATTGTTGAAGATTTTGGCGAGTCTTGCTATTGCAGTGCCAAATGCTACTTGAATACAACAGCAACACCAGCCAATCAAGCGACTAAAGTTCAGGTCAGCGATCATGAAAACTGCTGCGTTGACACTAGTCGTAATACTACAACAATGGCGACGAGTCGCTCAACAACACTGGAAGTAGTGGTGCACTCGACGCGAGAGGTGGCAAAAACGTCGAAGTACAATACCAAGTCCGTACAAGCTGCACCATTGGACGTCAATAAAACGACTTCAACGAAGAAAACGGCCGTCTTGAAAAATAAAAAGAACGCTACACTTCAACGTGAAGTCAGCACAGTCTCCTCCAAAAGAAGAAAAACGACAAAGAGTACTGAAGCTAAGCGTGCTGGGACAACAACGAAGCGAACAACTGCACGAGCGGATGCTGCTCGTGCATTAAGAAATGAACTGATACGGAGAGCACGACTAGCAGCGGACAAATACGTCAACGCAAGTGTTTGCTTTTCACCGACAGAAGAACCTTGGATGCCATCAAAGTTCTACCGAGCCGTAGGCGCAGCTTTTCTCGTTGGTATAATTACCCGCTATCAGATTGTGGAGGGAAAAAATGGCAAAGGTGTTGCCGTACCAACGCCACTTTTTAAAATTCAATGGACAAATACTGCATTTCAGACAAAGGATCACGTACATAATGTAGCTGAAGATGTTGTCGATCGCGGAGTGCGTCAGTACGTCAGGATGAACCAAGGACAAGCA